ATAATCACAGTACTTGAGAGGCTGAAGCAGGAGGGTTGCCATGAGTTCCAAGCCAGCCTGGACTACACAGCAAGACCCTTTCTCAAACACACAAAAAGATTCAGTAAAAGACCATTTATTACTTTTAATTTTTTTTTAACACTTTCTAATAGAAAATCTTTGCCAAAAGAGAAAAGTTAAGTTCTTGTGTCTGAGACACATTTTCTGGCACCTAGTAATTTTCAGTAGCTCTGTTTCCTTTTTGACAAACTTACAGAGTTAATATATAGAAAGTTAATAACATCAAAATTGTAGAGTTTGTATGGAAATATTAAGTATTAGGATTGCTTTCATTTTCTTAAAAGTCTTATTCTGTTTGCTTTCTACTGGAGATGTAAATAGCTTTAGAAACCTTGCATAGTTGTTTGAATTGCATACAGTATACAGGTAGTATCACTTTAATCAGATTAAATCAGCACTATGGTCCTTCCTCCACTTTAGGTCCTAGAGGAAGGACATTTTGACTTAGCTATTGGTAAAACATTTAATACTCTTTAATTGTTCTTTTGAGGGGGGGTACTTGTGCTTGCAGAGCAGGCGGCGGAACCACTAAGCTAAATCCCCAGACCTTTTAATTGTTCTTTTAAAATGGTCTTTCATATCTGCTCCCCAGTTTGTTTCCTGTCCGTCTCCTCTGAGATAGGATCTTCTGCTGTGTTGCCCAGAGGGCCTCAAATTCTCCACCCTCTTATTTAACCTCCCAAATAGCTGAGATTATAGGTATACAACACGGGGCCTGGGTAAATGTTATTTTCTTGATCACACAAAAAGTTACATTTTTCTTGGTGTGGTGGTGCACACTAGGAATCTGAGAATTGCAGGTTCACACCCAGCCTGAGCAACCTAGTGATTTATGAGACCCTGTCTCAAAATGAAAAGGGTCTGGGAATATGTAGTTCAGTACAAAGGCCCTGGATTTAATCCCCATTATCGCCAAAAGAGAGAGAAAGAGAAAGAAACAAAAGGGCTGGAGATACAGCTCAGTGATGAGTCCTCCTGGGTTTAATCCCCCCATGGTACAAAAATAAATCGATAAACAAGAAGATGGGATCATATTGTGATAATTTAACTGCTTGACTCACTGTATCATGAATATTTCTCCTGTCATTATAATTATTATACAGCTTTCTTTCAAATGGTTATTCATGTATCTATCAAGTTTTTTTTGGTACGAGGGATCGTTGTCACTGAGCTTAATCCCTGGCCCCTATCAAGTATTTCCTTGATGGAAATACTTTATCTTTTATTTTCAGACTTTTTTTTTTTCAGCCCCTCCAGCCTCAGCCTCCCAGGTCCCAGGTGCTGGTGTTATGGGCATGAGCCATGAGCTTCAGACTTTTTTTGTAAAACTATAGTGTTCATCTTAATGAATTATAGTAAAATGAGCAGCACCCTTGTAACTACCACTTAGGTCAAGACATCAACATGGTTAATATCCCCACGTGTTCTTCCTCCTCCTAGAGGTAACTACTATTCTGTCTTTATGGAAATTCTTTCTTGTTCCTTACTTGTGTCTAACACTATAGTTTAGTTTTGCCGTTTTTTTGTGTTGTTTTTTTTAATTTTACAAAGTGGAATCATTACAATATGTGTTCTTTTGTGTCTAGCTTTTTTTCCTTAAATATTTTATTGAGATCAATCCATGTTTTTGAAAGTAGCTATAGTTTTTGTGTTTTTTTGGTACTGGGGATTGAACTCGGGACCTTGCGCTTGTGAGGCAGGCAGCAGCACCACTTGAGCTAAATCCCCAGACCCATTTTTTTTTTTTAAATTGTACCATCATCCACTCAATCAATATACTACTCTTTATTAAGTCTACTTTTGCCAAGGATTTAGCTCAGTGGTTCTGCCGCCTGCCTCACAAGCAGAAGGTCCCAAGTTCTATCCCCAGTACCAAAAAAAAAAAGAGAGCTTTATTGAGTCTACTTTTATACAAATGATACAACCATGAACATTCTGCATTTTTTTTTCTTATGTGTATATGCATGTTTTTCTTCAGAGAATTCAAACCTAGGAGTGAAATCCCTGGGTTACAGGACATTTGTATCTTTAGATGTACCAGATAATGCAAAACTATATTCTCAAATGGCTGGATCAATTTTCAGTATGCCTGTTCTACATCAGCTCTACTTAGTATTGTTGGACTTTTAACTTTAGCCATTTTGGTGGATGTGGTAGTATCTCATTGTAGGTTTGTTTTGTTTTTGCGGTGCTGCAGGACGGACCCCAGGGCCTTGTACACACTAGTCAGACAGTGTTACCAAGCCATTGAGCTACACCTGAAGCCTTCAGTGTGTATGTTTTTTGTTTTTGTTTTTTAAAAACAGGGTTTCACTGTGTAGTACAGACTGGCCTTGAACTCACTGTATAGTCCATGCTAGCCTTGAACTCGTGGCTATCCTTCTGCCTCAGCCTCCCGAGTGCTGGGATTACAGGGGTCCACTACCACACCTGGCTTTTAGTGGGTTTTTTTGGACCTTGTGCTGTTGAGGCAGGTGCTGGAACCACTGAGCTAAATCCCTGGCCCTTTAGTGTGTTTTTAATTTTTGTGATTTTTTGTATTTATTGTTAGGTTTAAATATCTTTTTATGTGTCTGTTGGACATTTGGATATTCACTTTTGTGTAGTGTCAAGTTCCACACCTTTTTTTCTTCTGAGTTGTCTTTTTCTTACTGATTTATGTAGTCTAGCTACAGAGTCTTAATTAGTAAGTAACATATTGCAAATGTATTCTTCATTTGTGTAGGTAACTTGACCTTTTCACTGCATTAATACTGTAGTCCCTTTTGGTGAGTAGGTCTTAGTTTTAGTATAGTTGAAATGTTAATTTTCTCCTTTATAGAGTTAATGCTTTTTATATCTTAGAAATGATGCTCTTTGATAAAAAGGTATACAGTTTGCGTATTCCTAATGGCAAAAATCCAGAATTCAAATTTTTAACTGCCAGTATGGTGATACATGGGAAATTTTATATTTGGCCTCAAGTGATGGGTCACAGTTAAAATACAATAGCATTAAAAATATTATGTAAATTATGCTATAAGTTGTATATAAAACATAAATGAATTCCATGTTAAATTTGGGTCCTTTTCCCAAGATATCTCATTGTATATATGCAAATAATCCAAAATCTGAAAAATTTCCAGAACCCAAAACACTTCTGGCCCAAGCATTTTGGATACGGGAGGGATGCTCAACCTGTATGCTTTTTTTTTAGATTTTTGCTTGTTTACTGTCCCATTGGCAGTGTCTGAACCTTTTGATACCATCGTCATTTTACCAGTATGATTTTTCCATACTGTTGCCACAGATAGAATTTTGGGGTTAAGAGTACCAATTTAATAGATCTCTTCATTAGTGAACATTTTAGTTTATTGTGTCTATAAGAATCAGATTAGTTTCATCATTCCAACTATATACCAGAGCCAATAAGCATAATTTTAAGATTAATATTAAAATTTTTCCTCAGCTTTTGGTTCTGAGGCATATTTATGGCTAATAGGGAAAAGAAAAAGATGCCAAAAGCTGTTTTCTATTTTAATGTAAGATAGCATAATTTTACCTTAAAATTAATGAAAATTAATAGGTGAAAACTTAATGGATCAAGAGATTCATGAAATTGATGTTAGATGGTTATGAGTTACCCTTTTTTACTTTATGATATATTTTTCAGAGGTAGAATCATGATTTTACCTATTCTTTAATGATGATGTTCTGTCGTTTGTCCAGCCTTGGCTCTTCTCTCTTTCCAGTTCTCAATATTTATTTATTATCTTTTCCTGGATTATTTTTCATTTTTATTTTTTGCAGTGCCAGGGATTGAACCCAGCACTTTGTGCATGCTAGCTAGGCAAGTGCTTTACTCTGAGCTACATCCCCAGCCTACTTCCTAGATAGGAGGTGAGAGGCAGCTCCTGAATTCTCTTTGAGAATAAGTACAGTCAACTTTAAGACTGCAAGGAGCCTGTTGGGAGATAGAATGCAGGGTAGAGCTATCCTTTCAACTGCACCAAGTTGTCAATGTTTTATAAGGTTTAACTCCTCCATATTTTTCACTAGACTTATAGATTAACTCTTCTTCTGCCTCCAGCTTTCCCATGGTTTGTAGAATGAAATTCCTAAAACTCAGATCATTTCCCAAGCTAATGTCCTTTAGAGACTACCGAACAATCCAAATCTCAGTTGCTTCACACATTGTCTTATCATCTACCCTCTTGCTATCTGTCTAGCCTCCTATTACCCAGTTCCCCACATCCCTACCGAAATCTAGATTCCTGAGTTTGTTATATTTTTTTACATTTACTTGTCCTACTACCTACAACTTCTAACATCTGCCCATAGCCAGCCCTTCTCCCTAGTAGCTGGGTTTCTTTTAAAATTCAGTTCTGACAACGCATCGCCTTGAGAAGCCTTTGCCACCTTTATCCTTATTCACAGACTCATATCCCTTTTCCCTTAACTCAGTGAATTAGATGCCCTCTTTTCTTGGCTGTTGCAACTCTTTGTGTATACCTCTATAACTGCCATTTCTATTGTAATTCATTTGATTTTCTCCTTACTCAGGTGAGTCCCTTGAGGTTAGGACCCAGATCCTGTTCTCCCTGCCACCACCACCTGGAACTAGCACCATGTAGCAGTAGTTTATAGGAGGTAGCCTATAAATGTTTAATGAGTGAATGCAGAAGTATACCTAACTTTCCTAATGGTATGTTTATGGAAAGAACTTTGTGAGAAAGAGCTCAGTTAGAAAGCGATTGGAACTCCCAGGCTAGAAATGTAGCTCAGTAGTAGAGTACTTGGCTAGCATGTGTAAAGTCCTGGGTTCTATCCCCAGCACTGCAGAAACAAACGAAAGAACACTTAAGTCTCTCTTCTCTAAGAGCATATGAATTTAGGAATAACTCTTGTGCTTATAGAATTTGTAGGGTTTTGTTCACCTGAGTTGTAACTTGCTGTCACAGAAGGATGCCCTGCAGTGGTCTCGAAATACAGCTGCAATGGAAGGAGAGGAGCCAGAGGACTCAGCTGATGTAGAGAGCTGTGGATCTAATGAAGCCAGCACTGTGAGTGGTGAAAATGATGGTAAGTGCCTTAAGAAGATAAGGAGAAAACCCCAAGCAGTGTCTAGGAAGTAATCTTTATTTCTTTCTCTTCCAGTATCTCTTGATGAAACATCTTCAAATGCATCCTGTTCTACAGAATCTCAGAATAGACCTCTTTCCAGTCCCAGGGACAACTATAGAGCTTCCTCTCAGGTTAGGATAGTTTGGGATCAGCCTCGGAGAATGAATGACAGGCACAAGATAGGATTCTTTCTCCTACAGTTAGCTGTGGCATGTTTGAAAAATGGAGAAAGTAAATTTAGTCTTTATCTTAGTACCATTTAAAAGTGGACCTTAGGAAAACGGAATATTAAGTCCAAGAGCAGAATGATTTTTTTCCTTTACTTGGCTGGAAAATTCTTTTCATTCTGATACATATGTAAACATCCAGGGAGGAGTATAGTACAGTGCCAAGTGGTGAGAAGATGAGCTTGGGAGTTGGTTGTTTGAATGGTGGCCAGGCCACACTAGCTCTGGCAAGTTCCTTATCTGTGAAATGGGAATAACAGTACCTTCTTTGCAGTTCAGGATGATGCTTGACTAATATTAGTTAGTGCTATTTTCAGTCCTGCCTTGCAGATTTGACTACATGAACTCTTCTGTTAGAGAAGGATAGGATAGGGTGAAGAGAGAGTACTGTTGTGGCTCTGCAGATGACACAAGCTCTGTTTTTATACCCTCTGGGAATACAGGCAAACAAACAAAAGAAAAAGACTGGGGTGATGTTGCCTCGAGTTGTTCTGACTCCTCTGAAGGTAAATGGGGCCCACATGGAATCTGCAGCAGGTATGTGTACTCTCATGATTGTAGTGCTCTTTCTTCAGATCCTGGGGACCTGGCTTCCCTCCGTTAGCATCTCTGACCAGCAATGTGATGCCAGTAGAGCTGTTAAGCTAGAACCATGAGACTTAGCCCTTCTGGAAGGCAGCATGATGTGATTGTGAGGCTTGCTGTATTTCCTAGTGCTGGGCTCTGCCATGCATCCTCCTCTTTGCCTCCCAGGGCAGTCATGAACATTCAGTGAAGGATTATGCCAGTGCTTTGTAAAATGTGTAGTGCTGTACAAATGAAGGCAGTGGTTTGGCATTCTTAAGGTGATATTTTAAAGCCAGACCATAAACTGGTGATTTCTGTCAGCCCAGGCCTGGGAGATGGAAGTGCCCCAGTATTGCTGGCAGCATATCAGGGAGACCTGGGAGAAGTAAACTTGTCTGACAGCCATGGGCGCGGCATGTAATGCTTTTGACCAGTGGAATGCTGTGCCTTCAGGGTTCTCAGGCCGCCACGCCGATGGCGAGAGCGGCAGCCCATCCAGCAGCAGCAGCGGCTCTTTGGCCTTGGGCAGCGCTGCTATTCGTGGCCAGGCCGAGGTCACCCGGGACCCTGCCCCGCTCCTGAAAGGCTTCCGGAAGCCGGCCACAGGTGAGTGGCTTGACACTCATTTCTCTACCTGTAAAGGGGCCCCCATCAGGCCTAGTGAGATGATGTCATCTACTCTAGCTCCTTTTCTAGCTCATTTTTACTTCTTGGGTGGCCCTCTATTTTTTGTTTATACCTTGTATTTTGATCATTTCATGTCTAGATCTCTGCTAGACCTTAAATGACCTCCTTGCATATGAAGATGGTGCCACATTGTTTCTGGTCTGTCCCTGTCGGGCAGTGGTGGCAAACCTATGGCACGCGTGCTGCAGCAGGCTATTTGTATCATTGAAAGCTCTAAAAGGTTCACCATCACTGCTGTAGGGTATACAGTGCCTGCCTTGGAATTGCTTTGTAACTGGTTGCATGAGTGAAAATTGCTTCTAAGCTTCTCTGAAGGATTCCTATATCCATTTTGATAGCACCCTTTCATGCGTGTTCTCAACATCTGTAGTCTCTATCAAACTCTCCCTTCCTTATTTATGAGTTAGTGTATTGAATGGAAATACTGAATTCTGGGGACACACACAAATTCAGTAATTCTACATTGTGTACTTTCTGCCCTCAGTAAGATTATCTGCAATGCTAGTATGCCATTTGCTCTTTCAGAATTTATTTCTTAGGACCCATGCAGTATGAGTTTTTGTAAATGGGCCACGTGAAACCATTAAGAAGACTAACTTTGGATTCTGAAAATTAGAATAAACCATTCCCCAAGTGGGAACTAGGTTTGCTGTCTTGCTGCATTTTCTAAGTCATCAACAGTCCCCAATCTAAAAATCTCACAAGTCTGTCTTTGTAGTGATATTTTCAAATAAAAGAAAAATTTTTTTAGAGCTTTTGATTTATTTTACTTTTTTATTTTTTATTTTTTTGATACCGGCGATCGAACTCAGGACCTTGTGCTTGCGAGGCAGGCGGCAGAACCACTGAGCTAAATCCCCGGCCCCTTGTTTTAGAGCTTTTGAGAGGTACTGACATTTCAGTTGACTTTGAACAACCTTTAGTGTAATTTCAGCCTAAAGATCATACCTCACTCACAGAAGGGTTCTGCGGGTTTTTCTGTAGTATTTTAACTAGATTTGCTTTTAGACAACTTCTAACCTTTTTCCAGTTGGGATTTGTGGAGCCTGTTTGCAGCCTCAGAGGGAAGCTCAGAACCTGTCCTTGCCTGATTTTCTGTGGGAAGAGTGTCCTCTTCAGGCTGCAATCCAGCACAGTACAGAGTGCTGTTCAAAGGGCGGCAAGCCTGATTATTTATTAGGTTCAGTGGCACCAACAGTAACCTGGAAAGAACAGTCATACATACAGATTGGGATAGAATGGACAATTGAGCAGATTGTGTACAGAACAAAGTTCTGTGTAGATTGGGTGCTGCCACCAGAGTTTTCCCACCAGTTGACATTTGCTTGTTTGTTTTTGTTGTTGTTGCTTTGTTTAAATGAGTTGAAAATCTATACCTTGCTGCTTCTTGCTTCAAAAATCACAGGTCAAATGAAGCGCAATAGAGGAGAAGAGATAGATTTTGAGACTCCTGGGTCTATTCTTGTCAACACCAACCTCCGTGCCCTGATAAACTCTCGGACCTTCCATGCCTTGCCATCACACTTCCAGCAGCAGCTCCTCTTCCTTCTTCCTGAAGTAGACAGACAGGTATAGATGCCTAGCCTTTTCTTGGCCTATATGTATGTGGCCTCCTCTTCCAAATTTTCTTATTTTCACTTTTTTTCCTCAACTTTTAGGTGGGAACAGATGGCCTGTTGCGTCTCAGCAGTAGTGCACTTAATAATGAGTTTTTCACCCATGCAGCTCAGAGCTGGAGGGAACGCCTGGCTGATGGTAAGTAGATTCTGTCTCAATTAGCTTGAGATGTTCCTGCCATGTGTGGCATGCATTTTTTTGCTGTGTAAAGCCCAAGGACTCAATTTTTCACCAGACTCTTTCTCAAGGATTATTTAGTATAAGACAGGCTTTCATCACAATACTGATAATTGTAATGGTTATTAACATGCCACACAGCTCTGAAAAGGTAACAGGGTATTTGGACTTCCACTTTCTTGGAAATTCATTGTGCATTTCCTTTTCATGAAAAGTATACATACCTATTCCAATAATCATGGCATTGTCTGGAAGGATGAAAGTGCATTGTGATGTTGACCTGTTAAGTTTCACCATTTTCTTCTTGGGTATAGTCACTTGGAGCAAATGTTGCCTTCTTTGATTTAATCTTTTTTTTTTTTTTGGTACCGTGGATAGAACTCCAGTCCTTGCGCTTGCAGGGCAGGCAGCAGAACCACTAAGCTAAATCCCCAGCCCCTTTTGATTTAATCTTATGTGGAAGATACTTGGAGACTGTTGAAAGGACCCCAAGACACCTGTGGGGTTAATGACTGCTGCAGGGATTACATACAGTCAAACTCAGGGCTATAATTTATTATAGTAAAAGAATACAAAATAGAATCTACAAAGGAGGAGGCATATGGGGTGAGATGTAGGGAAAGCCAGAAGACGCAAGCTTCCAAGGCCCTCAATGTGGAGGTTCACAGAACACATTTAATTCTTCCAGAAACAAGTTGTGACAATACAAGTAAATATTTACCAGGGGTGCTCATTAAAGGATTGGTGCTCAGGATTTTTATTTGGGCCAATTATATAGAATGGTACTGCCCAGATTCCAAAAAAGAAAGCATAAATTGTATTGTTGGTGTCAACAGTTCAGGGACAATGAGCCAGCCACTCCTGTCAGTGTGGTGGGAAGTCTTGAAATCCAAGTTCCCATGTGTCAGCCAAGGGCCATCCTTGTAAGCCTGCTTATTAACTTTTTCTACGTGGAGAGTAAGTCTGGGTGTTTTGTTTGCTTATTGTTTTGCTTTTTTGAACAATGTTGCTTGCTTTTAAATGACTGATAACTTTAGGAGAGAGTAAATTTCTCTCCTAACAGACTAATTAAATATGTCCTGAGTAAGAGCTAATGTAAAAGGGCCACTGGATGAGAGGAGCATATCCTTTAAAATTTTGTGGTACACTAGAACCAGAAGACTTGGCTGTCTGTAAGACAGACATTAATATCCTGAATGCAGTCACTGCAAAAATCTTGTTTCAAGGTTGGCGATTTAGTTCAGTGGTTCTGTTGCCTGCCTTGCAAGCGTAAGGTCCCAAGTTTAATCCCTGGTACGATACCAAAAAAAAAAATTCTTGTTTCATTCTAGGTGAATTCACCCATGAGATGCAAGTCAGGATTCGACAGGAAATGGAGAAGGAGAAGAAGGTAGAACAGTGGAAAGAAAAGTTCTTTGAAGACTATTATGGACAGAGGTAAGGCACTTGGTCCTATGAGCTCTGGTGTGGGCATTTGAGGGGATAGAGGTAATTGGCCTTTCATATCCATAGATTTTCCATCCACAGGTTCAAACAACGATGGCTTGAAAATATCAGGGGAAAAATTGCATTTCTACTGAACATGTATAGACTTTTCCCTTTGTCATTATTCCCTAACAACACAATATAACAACTGTTTACATTGTGTTTGATACCAAAAATAATGTGAAAATGATTTAAAGTACAGTAAGTCCCTAACTTAAGAACGAATGAGTTCTGTTCCAGGAGAGTGTTTATAAGTCGGATTTATTTGTATCCAAAAAGTGAGTTTTATACAGTAAACCTGTGAACGTTCATGACTCAAATGTTTATAAGTCAGAGACTTTACTGTATACAGGAAGAGGGCTAGGGGTGTAGCTCAGAGGCAGAATGCTTGTCTGGCATGCATGAACCCAGTGGTAGTGTTCCAGCCCTACCACTGCAAAAATAAATATACAGAACAATTTACATAGGCTAAATGCAAATATTATGCCATTTCATATAAGGGATTTGAGGATCTGTGGATTTTGGCTTCCACTGGCAGTCTTGGAACCAGTTCTCTGTGTATACCAAAAGATGACTGGAATACATTTGTGTTGTACAAGAATGTGGAGATTGCAGTAACTTGAGTCATGAGGCTTAATGCCATTCACAGCCATGCTATTATATATATTTTTTAGTATTATGCACCACATAGATTGGTTATATCTATGTATCTGTATATTTATGTATTTGTATAGCTATGTATCTGTTTATTCTATCTACATATCTGAGTGTGTGTTAGTGATAGAGATAAGAGACATGTCCTCTAGGCTGTATCTGATGGTGTGAGTTTGGTTTACAGATTGGGTTTGACTAAAGAAGAATCATTGCAGCAGAATGTGAGCCAGGAGGTGACTGAAGTCATGAGTGGGTTGCATGTCCCAGGAGAATCAGCACAGCCACAGCATGGTCCAGCAGCCCGCCAACGAGATGGGCATTTTAAGAAACGATCTCGGCCAGATCTCCAAACCAGAGGCAGAAGGAGTCTGTGCAAAAAACAGGAGCCAGAACAAGCAGGGGTTGCTAAGGAGGCAAACTCTGTGGCACCAGACATTCTACTCTCTGAGGATGGGGAGGCTAAAACTGGCTCGGCCAGGGTGAGCAGTCCCCCCCTGCCAAGCGTATCCTCTGCAGCATCCGGCCAAGGGGTTCCTGAATGCCCTGGTGAACTTGTGGCTTCCCACATCCAGACAGAGGCGGATAACTTGGCACATGCCTCTGCATCTCCAGACAGAATTCCCTGCTTGTCTCAGGATACTGTGGATCAGGAACCCAAGGATCAGAAAAGGAAATCCTTTGAGCAGGCAGCCTCTGCATCCTTTCCCGAAAAGAAGCCCCGGCTTGAAGACCGTCAGTCCTTTCGTAACACAATTGAAAGTGTTCACACCGAAAAGCCACAGCCCACTAAAGAGGAGCCCAAAGTCCCACCCATCCGGGTAGGAGGCTCTTTGATTCCTCATGGCCCTGGTCCCAAGTTTCCTTTGAAGATTATGAGATTATAGAGCTCCTTTGCAAAGACAGACAACCTGGGGCCCTAGTTTGAATTATATGGGAGCATAGCTCTACAAAAGGAGCTTTCTTTTTTTTTTTTTTTTTGGTACTGGGGATCGAACTTTGGATCTTGCGCTTTCGAGGCAGGTGCCAGAACCACTGAGCTAAATCCCTGGCCTAAAAGGAGGTCTCTTGATCAACTTAAAGGCTGGAGGGGTAATTCAGCAGTGACTTTCTTCACTATTTGATTTACTCTTAAAATTATCTCTAGAGGTCAGAATCCTTTGGAGCTTTTAATCTTTTATTAGATAATGTTAGGTTCTTTGCTGTAGTGACTCATGCAGCCCACCAGAATATAAATTTAGAAGTGTGGCATAAACCACCCTTCAACAGAATCTTAGAATGAAGTAGTATTATGGACCATCATTTTACTGTGATTATTGACTCCCTAGGCCATGACCACTAAGCTAATAGTGTCTCAGATTTGCTTTATACTTCCTATTTTGGGTTACCCAGTTAAAATTGTTTCCCTGTGCTTTTCTTGCAGATTCAACTTTCACGTATCAAACCACCCTGGGTGGTTAAAGGTCAGCCCACTTACCAGATATGCCCCCGGATCATCCCCATCACGGAGTCCTCCTGCCGGGGCTGGACTGGTGCCAGAACCCTTGCAGACATTAAAGCCCGTGCTTTGCAGGCCCGAGGGACAAGAGGCCACCACTGTCATCGAGAGACGGCCACCACTGCCATCGGAGGGGGGGGTGGCCCGGGTGGAGGTGGCAGCGGGGCCACCGATGAGGGAGGTGGCAGAGGCGGCAGCAGTAGTGATGGTGGTGAGGCCTGTGGTCACTCTGAGCCCAGGGGAGCCTCGAGCACCCCCAGAGAGTGTACGTCAGATCTACAGCGAACACAACTACTGCCGCCTTGTCCTCTAAATGAGGAGCACACACAGGCTGGAACTGCCATGTCTAGGGCCAAAAGAGAAGAATTGGCTTCTCACAGAAAGGAGGAAAACTGCCCACTGCAGAGGGTTCCAGGTATACTCACAAGTGGCCTGGATGATGCCTCCCAGCCCCCCATTGCTCCCACTGGGGACCAGCCTTGCCAGGCTTTACCATTACTGTCTTCCCAAACCCCAGTGGCTGAGAAGTTAGCAGAGCAGCCTGAGTTGTATCAAGATACTAGAACTCAGTGTGAATCTGGCACCACTTCCTGGGAAGTGGGCAATGAAGAACAAGGAGCCACTGTTCCTTTAGAAAATGGTCCTGTACAGTCTCTATTGCTAGATACATTAGCAAAAGGAACTGACCAGACTCTCAACAGTAATCCTACCATGAAGGATCCTATAAATGTGACCCCAAGTTCCACACCTGAATTATCACTGACTGCCTTCCTACAGGACAGACCATTTGATGACAAATTAGGACTTGGTGACTCAGGCCTACCCATGAGGGAAAGTTACAGTAGACAAGAAAGCTTGAGAACTGAGGCTCTTTCTTCCAATAATGCTGCTCTTTGGACTCCCATCCTGTTGAATGACAGGGTAGTGAACCAGTCTGAGCCAGAATCTAGAGAAAACTTTCCATCTGTGGAGCCCCAGGTTGGAGAAGAGTGGGAGAAAGCAGCTCCCCTCATTGCCTTGTTGTCTGGGAGCTTGGCAGCTGAGGAGGGTGTGGCTCCCCCTGACAAGTGTACTTCACTCTGGACTTTGCCACCGCAAGGAGGCATAGGTGACAGGGACACCGAGGACAAGCAAGTAGACATTGAAAAGCTGAAAATCAATGAAGACTCTGAAGCACTGAGTCCTCATAGCGAATCCACAGATACTGTGTCTGACTTTGAAGGCCACCTGACTGAGGACAGCAGTGAGCCTGCAGCTAGTGAAGCCACAATGAAGAAGGAATCATTGATGGAAAAGGATACCAAGCATGATTGGAACCAGTCTGCCTCACTGTCCAAGGTACACAGTGACTTGAGTCTGGTTACAAGGACAGAGGGGGTGGTTACTTCTCAGAGCTGGGTTTCTCGAGTATGTGCGGTCCCCCAGAAGATCCCAGACTCCCTCTTGCTGGCCAGTAGTGAGTACCAGCCAAGACCCATGTGGTTGGCCAGGCCTGTGTCTGCAGTGGAGGCCAACAACCCACTTGTGATGCAATTGCTACAGGGTAACTTGCCCCTAGAGAAGGTTCTTCCTCCAGCGCATGGTGGCAGCAAGCCAGAATCCCCACAACTGCCACTTACAAAAGGACAGAGCCATGGTGGTCCCCTGGGCATAGGATCCTTGCATAATCCTGGGGAAAACAGTCACACAATTGGCAAAATCAGCCCTGGTTCTTTAAGAGTGTTGAAGGGTCCTCTTCAGTCTGAGAGTTGTGAAGCAAACAGTCTTGGCAGGGTAGAGGCCACCCAGACTCCTGGAGCACCCCAGATTTCCAAGTTGGTTCCAAGTCTAGACTCCCCACAGCCAGTGACAAATCTGATGACCTGTTCTGGGAAACTGGAAGAAGTGGATTCCAAAGAGCAGCTGTCTTCCTTTAATTTTGAAGATAAGGGTGTCCAGGATGCATCCCGGTGCAGTAATTCACATGCTGCTTCAAGTCCAGGAGATCTCACTACCTCGAGAGCACCTTGTTTCTCATCTCCAAATGTGATCTCTTTTGGTCCAAAGCAGCCAGTTGGGGCTCTGAGTAATGTTGGAGGCCAAGGGAAAAAGCTTTTTGGCCCTAGGAATATGGCTGCAACCATTCAGTGTCCCAGGCCTGCAGACTCAACACCGCTGCCTGCTGATGTCCCTCCAGTTTTTCCCAGTAGGAAGTTGGGACCGAGCAAAAACTCTTTATCTGATGGGGTACAGACTGCAAAGGAAGACTGGGTTCCAAAGCCACCACCTGCCTCTGTTAGCATCAAGAATGAAAAAACTTCTGTGGGGGCTCCTCTTAAGGCAGATGCAGAGAACAGGAAAGCTGCTGGGCACAGTCCTCTGGAGCTGGTGGGTCATTTACAAGGGATGCCCTTTGTCATGGACTTGCCCTTTTGGAAGTTACCCCGAGAGCCAGGGAAAGGTCTCAGTCAGCCTCTGGAGCCTTCTTCCATCCCCTCCCAGCTTAACATCAAGCAGGCTTTTTATGGGAAGCTTTCTAAACTCCAGCTGAGTTCCACCAGCTTTAATTACTCTTCCAGCTCACCCACCTTTCCCAAAAGCCTTGCTGGAAGTGTGGTGCAGCTGAGCCACAAAGCAAACTTTGGTGCAAGCCACAGTACATCACTGTCCTTGCAGATGTTCACTGACAGCAGCACGGTGGAAAGTATCTCACTTCAGTGTGCATGCAGCCTGAAAGCCATGATCATGTGCCAAGGCTGTGGTGCATTCTGTCATGATGACTGTATTGGACCCTCAAAGCTCTGTGTATTGTGCCTTGTGGTGAGATAATAAATTATGGCCATTGGAGAAATTGTATATTTAGTGTGTATTTTGATAATGATGGATCTTAAATCTGTATACAGAATATCATTGATATGATAGACTCTGTCTCTCTAGGCAAGAGCACTGTTGCCCTCCTCTGCAGTTTACAGTGCTAAAGCCCTCTGTCACTGGTTACCCCTCTGGTCTTCAGGAAGTATTTCCTGGGTAGCAACCTGTGGGTTCGCCAAGGTTGGCTAGCCTGAGTCCTCTCAGTTGGTATGGCAGGGGAGCCTGCCGGACACCCAGAGGGACTTGAAACAGATTAGAGGTTGTGTTCTCTACAAAGAGAACTCACCCACCTGAACTGAGCAGGAATGTCAGTCTTCCACTGCCCCCTCCCTGCCACCTTCTGATACTTTGAGTTGATGGTTGAGGAAGAAGCCACATAGGGTTAAATTAATTCCCGCCATTGCCCACTAGGGGGAATCAAGCACCTGCTGACTTCACGGTCACAGTTTAGGCATTTGGTAGTTTGATGGTACCAGTTTGACCTTTGGTTCTGTTGGCTGCATCCAGTTTGGAACATTCCTATTTCTGCCATCCACCAGCCCACAGGATGTTTTGGAAGCTTGAATAGCCCTGTTTGGACAATGGGGTCAGGGATTGGGTCTCCTATGAAAATGCCATCTGTCAACCTCGTGAGTCAGCTGTATGGACATTTGCAGGTGACTCTGCTTGCCACCCCGTAACATTGGACTCTGGGGGTGGGTGTATCCATGCACCTGTGTATGTGAAAGTCATTTTACATTTCCAAACTGTTTCATATTTTTTATATTTTTAACTATTCTTGGATGTATAAAGTGAACTTTTTGGCTTCTGTAAGTATGCTCTATGCACCTCTAATGTTTTATCCTGTATTTATATGTTGTATACAGTACTGGCCAATTCTGTAAATGGATGTATTGTACAGAGAACATGAATGTCTCTTCCTTACTTCACGTCTTTAGCATCATTACATTAAAGTGGTGTCATTTCTCTATGTTGATTGTCAGAGCCACTGAGTGTTGTGCTGCCTGACGTGAGAGGGAACTGACTGACTCATGATCTGACAGGTTGGCCTGGCGTTTTGTCACCTTTCACCAGGGGATCAACCACAGCCTGCAGAGCCACAGTCAGCCCACCTGCACACCACTAAGCAAATGCATCTTACATCTTGCATCTCTTCTCTTCAGTCTTTAATGGCTGCTTCCTACACATGTGACAAATCACCATCACCAGTGTTAATTTCTTCTGGATTCATAAGTACTTCCCTGGGCAGCTCCCAGGTAGGTCTTCTGGATCTGGCTCCAGGGTCCCCACCTGTCAGCAATACCTGATACCACTGGGCTCCTTTTGAATATTTGGCAGCAGGTTTGGGAAGAAACAAAGCCGTACCTGCTACCTGCCTCTCTTCTAACCCATTTCCAGCAAGTAGATGCTCCTGTGTTTGTCTTACCTGTTTCCTGCTATCTTGATTTAGTGAAGAGTTGAGAGTCTTCCCTGTTACTTTAGGTCTATCTTTCTGCGAGTGCTTCTGTATGAAGTATAAAGTTTATATGCCATGGGCAAATCTCATCTCATCTGAAACACCCCCCCATTAATCTGAGGTGGCATTTTTGTCATCTGAAGCATGAGTGGAAAGTCAGCAATGCTGTGATTTAAATGCAGTATAGATGGGGTCTAAATCGTCAGCTCGAGTCTGTTTACCAAAGACCGGGAGCAGAGGCCCAAACATGTCCAGTCGTCGTCTTCTTTCTGGGACCTTTGGGGCCACTCAAGGGTATAGTTTGACACTGGTCTGGTTCATGGGGCTGCCCAGAGAAAAGCACTGCTCTTGTATGTCTCTTGTGGTATCGGAAAAATAAACTTATACAACCTGCATTTGTGGTCTCAGTCCTCTGTAGCCGCCTGCTGGTATGGGAGGTCAGGTTGAAATGCAGAGGTGGACTGGGAGGGGCCAATGGCAGCTCTCATGACCCTAGACCCAAGTTCTTATATGTAGAACTCTTGTAAGTTTAGAAAGGAATGACTTGGCTTCATTGGTTTTGGACTTGTTTGTGACTTGAACTCAGCTACCTCATGAACTGGAGTCAGAAATCTAAAGGAAGTGATGAGTGGTTTCCTCTCAATGCTGTCTGCAACTTGCTCATCCAAACTGTCTATCTGAGGTTGACATCCAGTAGAGTTCAAGTAATTAATCTGTGACCTGCAGGCAGGTAACCAGTCCTTGCCTTGACCTGAAGCAAGTACTTGCTTGGCTGTTGCCCAAGGGAGCCTGAGTGGGTGCCAGGTGCTACTGGGGTTAGCTTCTCAGTTAAAGTCTCCAGATTTTGGAGGACTTAATGTAAAATACATGGTTTTGCACTTACCAGAAACAACATAAATAAGCCAAATAATAGAAGTAAAAGTTACAGTTATATTAACTGTTAATTGAAGAAAATAAACCAGTGTGGCAGGACATTCCTTGAGGGGGCCAGTCTCAGTTGCCATTTTGCAGTGATGCTGTTTGAAAATGTTAGGTGGCCCTGGTGACTAGATGAATGCCCAGTGGTGGTGGTCTACACTTATGCCTTAGTGTCTCAACACCCTTTGTCCACTTGTATCTGCAAGAGCTTAAAATGCTTCTGAATCCAGGGTGGGGACCTGACCTTCCCAGTTACATCTCAGCCAGGAGGCAAGCAGTGTAGTTGGCTAGAGTAAGGCTGTGCTGCAGGCCAACTCTGTGGACTTGGGTCACGGTACTAACCTTGAGTGCCAGCTCCCCTGTCTGTGGGTGGATGTTCTGCATCAGGTGATTGGTGCCTACTACCTAGGAAATAGTGCTAACCTACCTTGTGCTAGGTCCAGACAGTAGTAGAAATCTGAACAGCTAATTGCCACCTGCTTCACCTTTGGCTCAGAGGGAGCTTTTGGGATCTGAGGATTGGTGGTACAGGCTATGAAGCTGACACCTGAGTTTTGGTCTTGGGCTACATTTGAGTGTAGTGCTGAGATTAGAGACAATAATTTGGGAAAGGAGGCTTGCTTACCCAATGGTACAAGGAAACCAGATGTTTCTGTGTATGAAAAGAATACTATCCTATTGGCTTGCTGTAATACTATTAATTTGGGACAACTTGCTGTAGAAGTAAGACCCTGCTTGTGACAGGGTGTCCATTTATTATGCCATATGTGTTGAACAGAGGAGCCTGCATCTGTGGATCAAAGCATTGGCCTGCTGTGAGAGGCAGATGCCAGGGCTGGCCTTGTGGGCAGGTATGCTTTGAAGCTGGAGAGAGGGTGGAATTGTGACCTTGGAGATTGCAATTTGAAACCCAAATCAGACAGTTTTCATGCTCCTCTTGTCTCTGTGCATCAATTTGAAAGCCTGGAAAGTGCATCTCCACTCCAAGACGTAGATGAGTATTCGGTGTGCACAATGCCATTGATATTGCTGCTTTCCTCGGTGGGCTTCACTGTTCTGGAGACACTTTCTGGGTGTATTGAAAATGTTGGGGGCCGGGGATTTAGCGCAGTGGTTCTAGTGCCTGCCTCGCAAGCGCAAGGTCCCGAGTTCAATCCCCAGTATCAAAAAAAAAAAAAAAAGCTGCATACTGTTCAAAGGGGTACAGAGGTTCCCAAGGCAGCTGGTGTCCTTCATTTAACAACACTGGCTGATAAACCTGGTTTAATAGCATCTGAATTTGTACAAAAGCTCAATAAAGAGGTGATGGGACTTTGCAAGGACTTTTTTTAAGGTTTCTTACAACTGCTAAGCTTTCCTAGTGCATTTTAAATGACCTTTTTTTTGAGACAGGATCTCCTTATGCAGTTCAGACTGCTGGCCTTGAACTCTCTATGTAGCCCAGGTTGGCCTTGAACTTGCAGTGATCCTCCAGGCTGAGGCAGGAGGATCACTGCAAGTTTGGCCTCCCAAGTGCTGGGATTACAGGCATGTGCCACCACACCTGCCTAAATGACTTTTTTTTTTTTAAAGGCAGCCTGTGCATATTCTCCCCTTCCCCTCATTGAGTAAAAGGAAGGTTTGCCTGTTTTAAGTGAATTTTACTAAACTATTCTAAGGGGACATTTCCCTTTGGATGATGTCCTGTGCCCACTGTTAACAGCAGTGGTCTGGAGTGCTGTTTGAAGAAGCCAGACTGAAACAACCGGCACATTTCTTCTGTCCTCAAGCAGTTTCTCCAAGGGATCCCAGTGCTCCAGGGAGCCATGAATGGCATTTCTGTGGAGGTGAGTGTGAGCTGGTGGGGAGGCCCCTGGGGTCTGCACGAAGCCACTGTGTGTTCTGGAGATGCTATCCTAGATTTTGGAGCTTTAAGGGTCCCTTAGTGTAGTGAGTCTCAACAGTGGTAACTCCAGCTGGACAGGAATTTTCTTGGCATCACCAAGGATTTGGTATCCCTTGACCCCTACATCCATGGGAAGGGTGAGATGCAGAGGTCCATCTTGTTCTTGCCATATCTACGCCTGCCCCAGAGCTTCAGAGTGCTAAGCCACAGAATTTTCCAGGATTCTTATGCCATTATTAAAAAAGAGGTTTTATTAACAAGTGCTAATATAGGTGTGTGCAAATATACACACAATTTGGACGTAAAATCTATGCTTTTAACTCAGCATCTTTTTTTTTTTGTACTGGGGCTCGAACTTGGGACCTTGCGCTTGTGAGGCAGGCGGCGGAACACTGAGCTAAATCCCTGGCCCTCAAATTGTTTTTAAACCCATGACAATCAGTTTGTTCCCACCATATTCTTGCAATTTTTCCTTGAAGCTTAACCTTGTGATACATGTAGTATGAATGGAAAATGTATGCACAGGTAAATTTGGGGAAAATGACCCTTTAATTTCCTTCCAGTAGGATTCAGGGGTTTTTTAGAATGAAATGCCAGGTACTGATGGTTCAGAATCAGGGATCATGTTAGCTCAGTTTTCCAAAACTAGCACCTGGGGTTGCTATAGGAATTTGGTTTCAGTCAGCTGGTCTCACAGTAGTGTGACCTTATACCCAGTGCACCTTTGCTGGTTTGTCTTTTAAGTGGGGACAAGGTGGTTGTGAGAGAAAATATCATGCAGGGAGGGCTTGCTACCTGTGCTGGCCACCTGTTGAGCATCCTGGAAAAGTTTCTTCACTTTCTAACAGGCTAGGTGCTGAACCAGAAGTTTATTTGTTGAAGACAACTTAGTGAGGAACTTTGGTATGCCAGATTGTTGGTTAGGAAAAGGTGAAATCTACCAATAGATATTATTCCCATGCCAAACTAGATTTGGGAAGGACAAGAGTTGGGTGGCAGGGCTGCTGTTGATGGGACACAGAAGCACAGTGTTCGGTTTGTTGTTCATTGTTTATTAAGTAGATTCAGTCTTATATATGATATACAGATTCAAAAGGAAAAGGTTCCACATACATATGAAATCAGTGCATTTAGCAGTAATACCATGGAGATAACAGCTCGATTAACAGCTCATTGGTCTTCTGTTAAGTGAGGGAGAGGGAGTCGGCCTGTGCTAGTCATTCCACAAACAAAACAGAATTTAGTTGCATCACATAGAAGACACATTCTAAGAATTAAAATATTAAGCCACATTTACTGGAAAAACTCACCATCCAGAACACAAATACTTTTTATAGAGAGCATTGAGGAGGAAGTCCTCACCTGCTTAGAAGAGCCACATTAAGTTGCATAGGTGCATATCTGTAAAAATATAATTTAGAGGTGAAGCCATTGATTAATAGTCACCTTTAAAAGTTGGTGCCATTCACTGCTTGCCATAAGTGCCATATACTAAGTCTGGATTCCCAGAAGCGGTGGCTCACAAATGAGTGCTTCCAGAGGAACCCTGCTTTTACTATCTGCACTGAAAGTTAAAAATCTCGTCTCAGACATGGACTATCTTCTTCCTAAATTATGCCAAAATTATGCCAGAAGATTGGTGACCTCATGGGTTGTCCCTAAATCCTGGTTGGCTTGATCCTGAAGGCCATGGCATCATCTTGACCTTTCCATTGCCAGGCTGCTCAGAAAAATATGTTCATCCCAGAGCTGGGAGCCTTCACTTTGCAGCTGTCCATGTGGCTTACAGGAGGTCTATTCTGATCCCTGCTCCTAAGAGACACATGATAAAGGCAGATGGGATGGGTGATTTACCAGGCAGAAAGTGTTTTCCAGAAAATCTGAGTTCTATGTGGTGTAGGTTTTTGTGTTTAGTTTTAAGTGGAAACAGGTAAAAAGAGAGGGTTTTGTGTGTGTGTGTGTGTGTGTGTGTGGCTTTGCTAAACAGATGAGTTTAGTGAGGTGCATCTTCCTCCTCAAGGGGTGAGTCTTGCAGAACACACGGGGACTAGGGGCATCTGTACATGTAAACAGTACACTTTCACTGAGTCCAAAATCAGGAGCAAAAATACAAAGGTTCACATTGGTCTTAGGTAGATACAGGTGAAAAAGGATTGAGCTGTTGAGCTCAGAAACAACAAAAACAAAGTTTCTAAAGCACCACTAAATTATATAAAAATCAGACCACGGACGGATTGAAACTGGTATTCTGGTGAAATACTTTACTATTGTGTAAAAAGTTTTACAAAAAATTACAAATTAAAAGTATCAACCCTCTGAGTTCAAAGCAGCATTTTGAAAATGAACTGGTAGTTAATCCTATAACCACCCCTGGAGTCATACGTGGCCCTTGAGAATAGGGAGGGACAGATGGGTTCCATCTGTTGGAAATCTTCTGAGACCCTTCCAGCCCTGTTTGTCCCTCTCCCCCATCCTTGGGAATAAACTGTCCATCTTTGAGTGGTGACAGAAAAATTGTCAGATGGGTCACACACACTGTTACTAGTCTGTTAGACGACCTGCCAGAGAGACAAAGGTGCCCACTTCTCCAATTCTACCCTTCTTGTTGGGATTGGCCCCCTGTAAAGACTCTAGGACTGATATGCCCTACTCTTCCATTTCCTTTTTAACTTAAGGTTCCCAGTGATGTACCTGAGGCCCTCCATAAGATGTAAGTGGCTGTGGGACAAGGCTTTGGGAGTCTCCTCTGGTACAGGACAGTTTCTGAGGATGAGACAGCTCTGAGCTAAGGTCCATCAAGACCAGCTGTGGTGCTCTCCCAGTGTGGAGTGGAGGGGCGGGGGGCTTGAAGCTGCATCTTTAAAAACAAAAGCAAAAACAGAACAAGTTCCCTGACAAAACTAGATAATGGAATCCTGTTTCCACGCAGTTAATTGCTCCTGAATCAGCCATCTCTGAGGCTTCAGGTATAGCTTCTCCATAGGAACCCACCTCATAAGTGGGGTCGCCATGATGGAATCCACTGTCCTGGAGGCTCCTGGACCACCACCACTGGCATTTATTTTCTTTTTCTTTAAAATGCATACAATCTATGCTTACTATAGCCTTGAGGGGCAGGCTGAAGGTGGTCAGATAGCTTGCGCTCAAGAACATGCAGCTTCCAGCTGCTGCTTATGCTGATCTTTAGTTCGGGTCCTATTGCGGTAGAGGAAGGAGGCCCTTCCCAGTCTTACACTCCAGTCTGCCAAGAAATGCAAACCATTTGTGTCTTGCTTAGATACTGCCTCTGGGGAGGAGAAATGACACATTAAGCAATTGATACCAGGAATTCTAGGGCGGCGATTGTCTCTGCCAGTTTTTAACATTAAGATTTTCACAAATTGCCTAGGGTAACATTTTGCAAAAGATCTACTGATTACTTTGTATTATTGTTCACACACAAAAATAAATATTTACACAAATTCAAATGTTCAGAGTTGTACTGAGCAGGTAGGGACTGCACACATGGAGGGCTGGTGGGGAGAGGCCTTGGGCACTGGAGTTTGTGCTGTGCTGAGGGGGTCTCAGGTATCCTTGCCCTGACCAGAGGCCTGGGGATTGGTCACAGGGAAGGCAGAGGTGGTGTGGCTGGGTTCGTGTCGCAGGCCACTTGAGACCACCCCTGACCCTGGGGTGGAAGTGTGCATGGGGTACCCTGCCTTACAGTTCCTGGAGCATCTGAGGAGGGTGGGGTACCCATACCAGCACTGCCTGCCCAGCCCTCCTGAAGGGTGGTTTGCCACAGTGCCAGGAGGCAGGGCCATGGCTGCAATGAGCAATTGGCTGCAGAAAAGCTGTCCTGGGAAGGGGCGCTTATTCTGGGATCGAGTGGTTCTCTGCAGCTGTCCTAGGGTCCATTTGGCCCTGGCTCCCCTGGGGCCTCTTTGCTATGCAGGACAAAAGGCAACGGGGCTTCTGCCGGATCTCGGCAGGGGCAAGCAGCTCTAGAGAGCTGCTGTCATGGCTACAGAGTGTTGTGTGGAGAGGCCCCATGGGCCTACTGAGGTCTGGGTGAATCCCTGGTTTTAGCAGCACTAGTAGGTATTGCACTGAGCAAGAGGAAGTGCCTATCAGGGAGGAAGGAAACCAGGCCAACTATTTCTTTTTGCTCTTTTTCACACTCAAAGACACTGAGTTTCTTCCAGAACTGGACCTTCTAGAAGAAAGGCCAGTCCTAGGAGAACCCAAGTGGTCTCTCCACTTTATTGATGATCCCTTTATTCCAACCACGAGGCAAGGGGTGGGAGCTGCAGTCCACCTGAGGCTCATAGCTGTCTGACAGCCAGGGCTTACCCTGCAGAAGGCTCTTCTCAGCAGGAGTCTGAGGTCCTAGCCTGTGCAGAGAAGTGTTTAGACCTGGCTCCCCAGCAACAAGGTGAGGAACAGGACCCTCTCCTGGGCTCTGGCTTCTGGATACCCAGTCTGACTTACCTCCCAGGCAAACACACTGTGTGGGGGACTTGGGGAGACAACTGTTCAGAACAGGCTCAGAGCACATCCTGGAAAAAGCCCACGCTCGAGTGTGAGGTAGAATACAGGTGACCGTGTGACTGGGGCTCTGTAGAATGGGTGGAATGCCTTTGTTTTACTTTGCAGTGGGTGTGGACGAGGTCCTCCTGCTTGATGGTGACTGGCAGTGTCCCTGTGGCAGCACTGGGATCTGCAACAGGACAGTCTGGCCAAGGGGTGGTGGCCTTCCCCAGGGTGCGCAGGGCACTCAGATGGCCAGCCAGCCTGGCACCCACCCTGCCCCTACCGGTCCCCAGCCCGCATCAGTGTAGTGATATGGAATGTTAGGTACAGGGATACATCCTTCTGATCAGACAGACACAGACTGGCAATCTGTACAAACACAAAAGAATCCATTTTCAGAAAAATAAATTACTAAGGGGAGAGGAAGAAAGGGTCCACTTTGTTTTTCTCAATAAATATGCAATTCTGCTCACCTAAGACTTGAAAGGTAATTATCTGGGGGTGGAATTCTAACATCAGGGTCCAGAAAGGTGATTCTAAACAGAGCTGCAGCTCCAGCGCCTTGTTAGGGGAGCCCCAACCTTTCCAGAGCTGCCCCATTGGCCTCTTCCAAGCAGGTCAGAGCACCCGTGTGGCGTGTGGTGAGATTCCAAAAAAAAGTGTCCTTGTGCCCAAAGTCTCAGGTGCTTGGAGTGTGGCTAGAAACAGCTCTTTTGGATCCCACCTTTTTCAGAAAACAAAATGTACCAACTGGTGAGGCAGGAAGCTGGGTCCAGGCTGGGACACTCTCCTTTTCTAAGGTAATGCGCCTGGTACCAGGGGTCAGTTCTGCTGTAAAATGAGGTTTTCCAGTTCATCTGCAGAGCGCAGCAGGAAGGCCGCTGACTCCCGGTAGCCAGCGATGAGCTGCCGCACAGCACTGATCTCAGTGGGGCTGAGCTGGGCAGTGGGCATGGTCCTGCTGGTGCTGTTGCTGGAGGGGGTGGGTGTGGGCGTGGTAGAGGTGGTGGAGGACCCGCCTTTCATGCTGAGGTCTGTGGGCCCTGTGGAGAAGAAAAGATGCTAAGGAGGGAGCAGACCCCTTGCCTGGTGCCTAGGAGATAGACCCCTTGCCTTGTCATGACTGCCATATACATCTCTGGCAAGCCTCGGCACCTCAAATCTCCCTCCTCAGGAGTTCTGTGCCTGGGTAAGGCAGAAGGTTAATGCCGGTGCAGCAGGAGAGGGTGTGGGGTGGTTGTGAGATGTCGAATGGACCAGGCAGGACAGGACCAAGAGAGGCTTTCTGGGGAAACTGTCTGCTGTCTGCCCTTTGCCTGCAGATGGTGGCAGCAAAGAGGGAGCCCAAGGTCTTCGACCCATGGTATGTGTCCTGGGGGAAGGGACTCTAGGCCATCTTTTCTCTTGGCCTTTCCCAAGCAACTCTGAAGAGTGGGCTGCTGGCTTTGGAATCCCCAGGAGGATTAAAGCCATGTTTTGCCACTTTATGGGCAAGTTCTTAATTTCTCTAAGTCTCAGATCCATTCTTGTGAGCAGGAATTGCAGTGAAGCCTGTGAAACACTCAGCACTAGCTGGGGTACCAGGGAAGAACTTTCTTTTTTCTGAAGGCAGCAATACTGACTGTTGCATCCAGCCCACTGGGTCATGCAGACAGGAAAGCACCTAGAGCTTGCAAAGGCCTTCTCCCAAGGTGTTCAGTATGAGCACAGACTAAGAAGAATGATCTGGCCAGTGTGGGAGCTGGTTCCTTTGCTGCCCTGACTAGCTCAGCTTCCCAGCTGCTCTCTGCCTTCCTCTCCCTTCCAGGGTCTTCCCTGCGTGGATGTCCCAGTGGGCATCTTATAGGTGTGTGAGGCTGTGCTGAGCTATTAACCATCTCCTCACTACCCTATGGCTCAGATGGCTAGCCTTGCTGATTACTGCACCTGCAGTGACAGTGTTTACAAGCTATAGAGGTGAACAAGCTCTTGTCACTGGAAACATCTAGACCAGAAGTAACATCCTGGGATAAATTAGGGAAAATCAACTGCTGCTAAAAAGAAACTGGTGCAGCTCCAATTAGAAAAGGAAGCTGGGCTCTATGGTTGGATAGTTTGTCATATGGGGTTATTTTCTTTCTAACCAGAGAATGTGGACATGGAGGAGGAGGTCCTAGGAACTGTTTTCCTACAGAATGTCCCTGGAATTGAGAGTTAAGGGAAGTTAACACTAGATATATGAGGAAGGAGCAGGGCTATGTGTTGCTGAAAACAGCAGCCAAGGAGGGGATGACTCCACGTTGGCCATCTCTACAAGCTTCTGGATGTTGCCAGGGCAACAGAGGGATCCCCAGAGGGATGGGGAAGAGAAGGTTAGGTTCCTTCTGAGTGGCTCTGTCCCTCCAGGCAATATTTGGGGTTAGCCAAAGCCATGTGTTGCATCAACATAAGCAGTGGCCCCAGGGTTCCACACTTTCCTTCCTCCAACCCCATACTTTGTCCCATTTATTGTTCTTCACTACACTAGATATTCCTTCTTTCTCCCCTGGACTGTAGCTAAAGCCTGAAAAGAAGGTCCTGGATTCTGCCACCAGTCTGATCTGGAGACATCCTCATGCAGGCTCTGGATACAGCCAGCTACTCAAGTTGCTGGTGATTGCCAGGGGGTAGAGGGATAGGACAAGACAGGCACAGGGCAAAACAGGCAGAGTGAGATTCTATCTAAGTTGATTTCCATCTCCAGATGACAACATAATAAACAAAGTGAGGAGCTCTGAGCCATTAATACAGCAGCACAACCAAGGTACCAAACTGATTTAACAATCACTTGAAAGGCTGCAGGTGGAGGACAGTGGAACTGGGTGGCTCTGCTGCTATGTGGCTTGCTGTCTTTCTCAAAACCTGTTGGACTTAAGACTCAAAAAATGTGGTGGGGGCTGGGGATTTAGCTCAGTGGTTTCACCCCCTGCTCTGCAAGCGCAAGGACCCGAGTTCGATCCCCGATACCAAAAAAAAAAAATTTGGTGGTAGTATGTTTGGTGCTGGAGATAGAACCCAGGGCCTTTGCACTGAGCTACATCCCCCACCCCTTTTTTTGCTTTTGTTTTTGGTACTGGGGATTGAACTCGGGTTCTTTCGAGGCAGGTGGTGGAACCACTGAGCTAAATCCATGGCCCGTTTTCCATTTTTTAAAAAGTTGTCCAGGTTGGACTCAGACTTGTGATCCTCCTACCTCAGCCTCTCAGAGCGCTGAGATTATAGGCATCCACCACTAAGCTCAGCTTCAGACAGTGTACCAGGTACCAGGTCATCCCTACCTTTCATGTTGGGCTCCAGACTCCCTACGTGTATTTGATATTTGTTTTTTTGGGTTTTTTTCCCCTGGTACTGGGAATCGAACTCAGGACTTTGTGCTCGCCAGGCAGGTGTGGTGCCACTGAGCTAAATACCCAGCCCTCCCCACATGTATTTGAAAAGGGGGTTCTAACCTCTCTGATACTGTGACCAGCTTCACACACAACAAGGGGTCTGCTTGGCAGGGCTGTGGGATGGTTTTCTTTCTGAGGGACAACAGCCACCTGGGATGGCTGTCCATACTTTGCTGTGCTGGCCACTGTGGCCTGGCTGCAGGGATTAGGGCCAGGCAGCCTCTTATTTTAGGTTAAGAAGCATTATAAGGGATGAGAAATTAAGCCCAGGGAGAATCTTCCAGGGACCTGCACATGCTCCCTAATCATAAGTGCAGTGAGCATGGGGGTTTGGGGTGGCTAGAGGCTTGGAACAGGGGATGGGAAGGGAGTGACCTGGGCTTTCTACTATGGTTAGAGACTGGGCCTCTCCCTCTCTGCCCAGAGACAGTGAAGGGTCTTCCTGCAGCCAAGGGCAGGGCTTTAGAATTCTCAGGCATATTCAGCCAAGACCAGGCTCCCCAACCTACTCTTCAAGCAGCAACTGGATGTCTTCAACTCCTCTCTCACTTGGCCACTAAACTGTAACCCCTAAGCACCTGCTTCTGCCTCCTGCCCTCTCACCCCAGGCGCAGAGTGATACAGACTAAATACAAATTATAGCCCTTCTGTGCCTCAAACCTGCCAGGGGCTCCCTGCCAGGACTGGTTTGTTGTCATGGTCTGTGTCTCATCCACAGCAGTGCCACCTGGGAAGCACCGGCTAAGTTGCCCAGCTTAAGGGCCTGGAGCTGAGGGAATGGATGTATGACCATCACCTAGGGGACTTGGATATGGGCTCCATGGGTGAAAGGACCATGGCCAACGCCTGGAGACACCTGTTGAACCATTTAGAAGGCCACCTGGGCCACAGCCAAATGGGGGCTGGCCTGGGAAAATGCAGGGCACCCTTCTTAAACCAGGTGGGTAAAATGGGGGTGCTCTTGCAGATAATCTAGAACAGGCCCTGGGCTGGGGTTCAGCAGGGTCCTGTGGAGAATGGAACCAGAGACAGGTTGCGGGAAGCAGCTGTAGCTGCAGGAAGTGCTGTGAAGTACCTGTGGTGGTGAGAAGGGAGGTGGAAGTAAGAGGGGAGCTGGAGATCTTCCCTTTAATCAGATGAAGTTCTCCTGGCCTTCCAGTCTGAGGACTAGCTGAGCTTTTGAAATGGGGTCACTGGCTTCTGCTTCCCCCATGCTGCCTTTCTGGGCTGCTATGTAGTGTGAGCTAGGTGCTAGTCAGGGAGCCTGAGCCTCCCCCACTCACCGTTACTGTGATTTCCTGTCTGGAGGGAAGTAGGGGGCTGCAGGTTGCTGCTCAAAGCCCCATAGCCACGGTAGCTGTAGTTGAGGCCGCCGTTGACATACACAGGGTCCTGGGAGTAGGAGGAGGCTGGCAGTGTGTAGGTGGAGTGGGTGATGGCTGCAGAGTCCCGGGAGTGTTGCTTGTCCAGGGCTATGGGCTCATCCTGCAGAGGCAAGCAGGTGGTGCTGGGGAACCCAACGGGTAGAAAGCTCCACCATCCTTGGACATGGGGTAGACAAAGGCTGGGTTCCTGGACCCAACACTGTAGCTTGACCTGTGGGACCTGACTGTTCCCTCTCCCTGGTCACCTTGCCCCAGGAATCTCCCCTCATTTGGCTCATCTCTCTGTAGATGTCTCTGCTAAAGACCTTCTTGGAACTCTCTGCTCTCGGGATGAGGTCCAGACTTTCTTTTATGAGGGCAGCAGGGTCTCTGAGAGATTCCTCCAGCCTTCGCCACCTCTTGGCACCTCCCTCCCTCTGTCCCCTTCTCCCACTTGAGGACTCCCCTCCCTGCTCCCATGGGCCCGTGTCTGTGAGATGACTGATGACTACCCTCAGGAGTGGCCCCTGGGAGGTGGCTGGCTGTGAGCAGCTACCTGCGAGGACTGGTAGATCTCCAGGCGCATCCTTTTGGCTGCTTTTCTTGTCTCGCTCTCACAGGCAGCTGCTAGGATGTTTTCTGCCATGGCCGAGGTTAGGTGGGGAGGCGTGGGTCTGGTCTGTGGGCAGAACAGGGATGGGTCTGGCAGGGGCCCTAGGCTTGTACAGAAACCCTGGCCCAAAGATGGGTGATGCATACCTATGGTTTGAGCTCTGGCATCTTATTTACAGAGCTGTGTAACCTTTTTGGGCCTCAAGTTTCCTCATTCATGAAACAGGAATTAATTACTGGCTTCTGAGGCTACTGGTTAGTTTTGGTAAAGTGTCTGGGCAAGGGGCACCCAGTAATCCCGGGAGGGTGGCTGAGGTCAGTGGCGGCCCTGGGAAGGGAGGGTTGGAGGGGGGCTCACCATCTCCATGCCATTCTTCTTCATACGTCGGCAGGACTTGAGGTATGTACGGATGCGCTTTCGGGCCCGCTCCTGGAACTCAGGGAACTGCCGGCTACAAGACTCGATGATGGCCTGGATCTTCTCCTTGGGCTGCTTGGAAATGGGCACCATGCGGTCCAGGTTCTCATCCACAAAGAGACGCACAAACATCTGTGGGAGATATAGGCCATAGGGATGTCGTCCTCACTACCATGGCTCCAGCACCCACCCTACCTGGTCCTGTTTGGTACTCACGTTGAAGGCCTTGAGACGCTCAGGGTCCATGCCCTCAGAGTCATTCATCTTGTCATTGTCCTCGTGGTCATCATGGTCATCATCATCATCATCTGCTGTGGGCGCCCGGCCTACCGTCAAATCCTCAGGGCAGCCACTGACCTCTGTCTTGATGGAATCGTAGCTCCCAGAGCTGTAGGGGGGTGACTGCAAGAAGGGTAAGGGGCGTAGGGGCAGATCAGATGGCTGCCTGTCGCTCTTGTTTGGCCTCTTGTAGGCCTTAGTGAGCTTGGGGACAAGGGTGGCAAGCATACTCAGCTGCCATGTGAGCAGCATCTGTGAGGACCTGAGCAAGTCACTATTCCTTGCTGCTTCCTTCATCTGTGACATGGGGCAACTCCTTGGCTGCTCAGGAGGACAAATGAGGCAGTGCTTGACGGGCACATGGATCTTACTTCCTGGAAGCAGCAGGCATCGGGGGAGTACTTTTCTCTGAAGTGCCCACAGCAGAACCTGCCTGACTGTGTGAAGGATGCAGAAAGGATTCCCACCACCAGCTGAGCTCTTCTGGGTGCCAGGATCTGTTTTGGCTTTGGGGTTTTCCTCTCTTATCCCCAAGGGGCTGCAGCCCTGAGTTGACAACTGAGCTGTCACCAGAGCCACGGATGTGCTGTCTGTCAGAGAAGAGAAACAGATGGCCTGGGAGAGGGAGCTAGCCAAGGTGACAGAGCCATTAGTGTGTTCCTAAAGCTCGCGGGCTGGGCTGTTCCTGTCTACCCACCAAGGAGACATTGTAAGCCCCAGTGAAAACTGTGAGCAAAAATGGGAAAGGGAACCAGATCTAGCCTGCCTGTCCCCGCCTGTCCTACAGCCAAGGTGGGTCCCTGCCCTCAGCTCCCACTTACGTTCTTCCCTGGACAGGCCCTTCACCCATCTCTCCTTAGAGGGTGGCTCCCTGCTTTCCTCTCTGCTAACAATCCTGTTGCCCCTCATGGTCCAGGTTCCATGCTACCTGTCTCTTGCCTCCTGCCTTCAGGGCCTTGCTATTTGCCCTTTAGAAAGTTTGCACCTGTGGCAAGTCCTGACATCATGGCCCCTACCCTGAAGGGGGCTGGTATTAGTGGGTAAGTTGGGCCCAGGGAACACAACCTGCATGATCAAGACACTGTAATGTGGCTACTACATGGCCTGGAGGGACCCCAGGGCTCACTGAGGGTCATATCAATGAAGATGCACATGGCCCGGTACCCTGGCCCCCACTGCTGCCCCTCCAGCCTCTCTCCCCATGCCCACATCCAGGGGATCAGGTCCCCAAAGTCACCATGCAGGGTCAAAAGACCAGCCAGACATAGTGTAGGCTACAGATGGCCATGGGGCCCTAGGCAAGTCACATTTCCAAGCTACTGTTTAACTAAATCCTCAGCCAGGGCCAGAGCACAGACAGAGAAAACAAACTGTAAGAAATGGCTGGGGACATTTATGTTCTCTATCTTACTTCCTTGATGCCTGAGGCCGGGGCCATCTCCTAATATGTGACCTTGTGGCAGTGGCTAGAGGGACCCACCAAACAAAAGTTAGCCACACTATGGAACAGCAGCTCTGGCTAAGATCTGCTTCTAGCCAAATTCATGCAGCCTGAGCCAGTCACACAGGGACAACTTGAAACTATCCCTGGCACCTACTGGGCTGCTCTGTGGGAGAGAAATCAGCCCAAGGCGGAGGAAGAACCTGCCCAGGGCTTCATGGCTGGAACTCAAGGCTGCAAGGCTGGGGAAGATGGTCTGGAGAGCTGGTGCCCCAAAGCACTGCACTGTGCTACCACAGGAAGTGTCCCTGAGGCTTCAGGTGGAAGTATGTGGGCAACCTGTCTCCTCCCATCAGCCTGCTCAAGGAGGAGCTCCATTCGCTGCATCCTTGGGACCTTACCCTCTTCCTGTACCATCTGTAAAATGGAGACAGATAGGCAAAGCAACCAGGAGGTCTGAGGCCTTGAACCTTCTGTGCTGAATGTGCTACTTGCTGCTGTTATTCATAGCAGACTCTGTCCCAGGGGACACACATTACCTGCCATCTCTACCAAGGCAGGGACCACCAATGCCACTTCATAGATGGGAACCTGGCTCAGAGAAGCAGGAGCCCTACTCCAGTACCACACACTGAGCCATCTCCTATTCCAGTCTCCCCAAGAAAATGATAACATAGTTGCCACACCACTGCCCTTGTGACCATTCTTGTCACAACAGGGCTGGCTCCAGCTAAATTCCATATATATGATTTCTGTTCAGCCTCAAGACAACCCTGCTATTGACAGAAAGATGCAGAGGCTCACACAGCTCATGGCCCCACATACCTCAGGAGTAGCCTTCACCCCATATTTGACACGGCTCCGCAGCCCATCAGTGCCACAGCCATCGGAGGAGTAGGAGGGTGTGCCCAGTGCTGTGCCTGGTGGGAGCTTGTCACACAGGTTGATGGGCTGATCCTCAGCAGTGGAAGTGAAGTCCATGGGGGCCGCAGCGCCGTTGCCGTTCAATTCAGGGAAGGCGGGGTCGCCCTGTGTGCTGCTTGATGTGGATGGGTTTAGGGTAGAGGAGCCATGGCCACTGCCACTCTCGGAGGAGGAATCATCTGGAATGGGAGGCGGGGGTGTGAGGCCCAGCACTGGCCCTTCTCTAGGACCTCAGTGTCTGCTGTGTGACTGTCACGAGGCTCCTGGAGAGCAGGTGTGTGCTGTGCTCTACACCACAGTCTCTGGGACATGAGCTGCAACCCAGCCCCACAGACTGGGACAGTTGGGGACAGGGCTGCTCTGCTATCAAGAGCAGAGTGGCCATGGGGACGAGGGGTGTGCAAGCATGGAGGATCCTCCTGGCCTGCAAACCCACAAATGCCACTTCCAGGGTCTGGGAATGGCTTGTGGGTGGTCCCTGGACAGCCACCCTGGTCCTCTGCTCAGCCTTGAGGTCCTTGCCTCACTCTTTCAGATCCTCACAGCCCCCTCCCAAAGCTTCTCCTTCCTTTGCCTGAGGAAGGAGGATGTTCCATTGTGACCCCACAGCCACCCATGCCCTGATACACTCAGGCCCAGGCTGATCCTGGCAGCCTACCCACAGACATAGTGCCCTGCATTTCGGTCCTTTGTGCACATCCAGGTGGCCTTCAGCATACCAAGCCAGGGCTGTAAGGCCTGGAGTCTACATCCCTGGGCCTCGATGGGTCGTCCCTGCCTTCCTGAGGCTTCCTGAGGTTGGGCGCCCTCTGTTGGACAGAGTCCTGTATTGCCTGCCAGATCTAGAAGAAGAAACTTTTTTTTTTTTTTTGGTACCAGGGATCGAACTCGGGACCTTGCACTTTCGAGGCAGGCGCTGGAACCACTGAGTTAAATCCCCGGCCCTAGAAGAATAAACTTTTAACTGTGGGGGACTAGACATTTTCAGATAAATTCTAGGTCTTTCTTCCCACCTGCCCCAGCCTCCTGCTTGATCAGCCGAGACGAAGCTACACTAGGAACTCTGGGGGTCACTGACAGGTGAGCACCCGTGTGGTTCCCAGTAACGCTCAGGTGCCCTGGTGGCTCTGCTCCAGCACCCAGCCTGAGTGGAGGAGGGGTGGCCACTGGGAGCTCTGACCGCCCCTTCCCCCAGGCCAGGGTCCTTCTGGACCCGACCCCACCCCCATCCTCCCAGCCAGCAGATTATGAAGATTTAGTCCCTGGTGCTGGGCACACGCACCTCCTGAGCGTCCCCATGGCTACCGAGCGGCTCTAGCGCCCCAACCAATCATTGACTTCCTAGCTGGCTGGGGGTGGGACCGGGCTGCCCATCAAGCACCCCGGGCCCTAGGCTGAGGGGGATGGGAAAAGAGCAGAGCAGTGGCACTCCTCCCCCTCGGCGAAGGCAGGTCCCCTGGGCCAGGCTGCGCACGCGGCCTAAGCTGCCTCCACCACCTCCTCCTCAGGGCAGCCTGGCTCCAAGGCTCTCTCCAGCCGGTGGGCTCCGCTCTAAGCTAGCGCGGCTCCCCCGCAGCTCCTTCTCGGCCCACTCACCCCTGGCAGGTTCGGAGCTACCTCTGGGTCCTCACCACCTACCCCTCCTCCTCCTCTTCCTTCATAGATGAGTCTGGTTTTCTTATGGCACTACTTCCAGCAACCAGTCTAGACATTTGTGGAATGAACAAATTACCTGGTGGTATTTATTGAGGACCTACTGTGTTCTGGCCCTGTCCCAGGCAGAGAAACAAAGTGATGACCACAACTAGGGTGTCAGTTCTCCTGGAAGGCCAGATACACAGTACTGAACCTCATGGGTAACTTGGAAAGTGAGTTATGGGAAGGGTGTCAAGTGCTCTCAACCTGCCAAACCACACCCAGCTCTCCCCACTGCCCGCCCTGCTGGCACACTTGGTCCCTACCTACTCATGGCTCCCTGGTATCCCATGACATCAAGTGCAGGACCTGTTGTGTGCTCTCAGCCTGTCCAGTCCTGCCAGACCTAGAATCTCTTGGGTTCTGCCTGCCATGTTCCTTCCAGCTGGGACATCCAGGTGGCCTTCAGGGTGACCTCAGAGTAGGCCTCTCTCCTCTGCTGCCCCAGGGAGGGAGGCAGTTGCATCAGTTCTTATAAGGATGTCTCCTGCACCATGCTTCCCTGGCCAGGGTCACCCCCACACCAGGCAGGGGCTGAGCTGACCTGGAGAAGCCCCCACAGCCATGGCACAAGAAGGGATGCCCAGCTCTCATGAACTCTCTGAGGGACACATTCTTAGCCCGCCTTGCAGGTATGAATCCCACTCTGCCCCTCTCTCCGGAGGCCACTTGCTTGACCTTGGAGAGCCCTACATTCCTCCTTTAGAGACCTGCTCCTCGGTGCAGCCCAGGGCAATGGTCACTACATGCACCATGGGCATCAGGCCCAAGGCCAGCTGCAGTGTCATACCCCACCATCTGCCTAACCAGGCTTGCCCAACAAAGATGCAGCCCCTTCCCCTCCTGGAGCCTGCCTGGCAGGGACCACATCCTGCTTCCTCAAGCTGTCATGGCAGCGGCTGCCAGCGACTCCGCCTTAGGCTGTGAACCTGTGCTGCCTGGCCAGGGAACAGACACTGGCTCCAGTGGTGGCACCCTCTTCCCTGTCCTCAGATGTCATCCCAGTCTCGTAAGGGAAACAGTTGGGCAGGTGAGAGCCCCAAGACACCAGGAGCTGGGACCTCATGTAGCCATGTATGCCAAGTTTTTAGAAGAAACGGAAATCTACACCATTATGTAAATATCCAGATCTTAAAATATTGGTGACTGATTTACCTTGATGACATTTTAGAAAAACGTTAAGTAAAAAATGATAGGTAAAATGTGGCCTTTCCACACAATGAAATATTGGCCAGCCATACTCACAAATGAAACTTGGATACATACTACAATGTAGATGAAACTTAAGAACATCATGATAAGGGAAATACTCCTGACACAAAAGGGTAAGTATTGAACGATTCCACTTGCGCACAGTGTCTAGAATAGGGACAGGAATTTATACGGACAGGAAGTAGATAAGAAGTTACCTTGGACTGGGGAGACACGGAAGTAGGATGTTTATGCTTAATGAGCAGAGCTTCTTTTTGGGGTCATGAAGAAGTTTATGCTGTACAACTAAAAAATAATGGTCCTGGGCTGGGGATTTAGCTCAGTGGTTTCGCTGCCTGCTGCGCAAGCACAAGGACCCAAGTTCGATCCCCAGTATCCAAAAAAAAAAAAAAAAAAAAAAAAAATGGTCCTAGTACACAGCACTACAAATACATTTAATGCTTCTGAAGTGTTTACTAAAAATGATTACAATGACAAAATTTTATACTATAGTTTACCACAAAAAACTCCAAACAAAACAAAAACCTTGAGGGCCAGGGATTTAGCTCAATGGTTCTGCCACCTGCCCCACAAGCGCAAGGACCCGAGTTCGATCCCCAGTACAAAAAATAAAAAAATAAAAATAAAAACCTTGAACAGGTCCATGGGTCCCCACATACAAGCTCCATTTGTTGCCACCCAATTTACCCATGCTGCACTTGGGAGAAACCCCGCCACACACACAGCCTGCGTCAGAGTGACAAAAAACGTCACAGGCCAATGTTCTCCAACCTGGGACACTAACTGCCACCCTACATGGGCTGCCTACGAAGGGACCCCCCCATTTTGCCAACTGAGGAGGCCTATAGGTTTTAGCAGGATGCAGAGGAGCTGTGTGGACACCAGCTATATAAACTTGAAGAGAACTTTTCTCTTCCCTGTGCCTCAATTTCCCTTCAAAATGGCTCTCACATCAGTAAAATAGGATTTATAAGGTGTTAATAATTTCTGGTATAGAGTAGATGCCCCCCACCAAGAAAAAGGCCAGTTTCCCACACCCCACACTTTTTCACTTTGTACTTACTCACTTCCTACCCTCAAGTATTTCCCAGACTGGAGCACAGGCCAGAGGGAGCCCAGCACGGTGCCAAATGGGAGGTGGGCACAGGGAAGGGAGAGGGGGAGGACAAAAAGCCTGAGAGATGTGCTCCTACTGTGTCCCTTGCTTTCCTCAGCACCTGCTGGGTAACAGACCAAGCTGCCACTGGGCACCAGCAGAAAAAAGACGGGCTGCTGCTCTTGGGCTCTTCCTCTTTAAGCAGGAATTCAACACAAGGGCTTTAGAGGAAACTGGGCTCTAAGGAGGAGGGTACCTACTTTCTCACCCTTGACCCATCCCCCGACCCCCTGCCAGCCTGAGCCCACTCCTCAGGGAAGCCCTCTCTGTCTGCCCCCAGTCCCATCCTGGCAGAAGCTCTGGATCCAGCTTCTGTAGAACCACCTGAGGGAAGGCAGCCTGAAGGCTGACCCCAAGGGGCTTGGCACTTGCATGAGGGCTGAAGCCCCAAATGGGCGAGGGGTCAAAATGCTGCTTGGGGTGGCGGGGCCATCGGTCCCAAGGATACCATTGTGGTTCTGGCTGCATCCTGACTCCCTCCCTGGGCCCACTTCTCCTCCCACCCTGCTCCAGCTGTAGAATGGGCCTTTGTACTTGCTTCCCCCTCCTCCTGCTACACTGTCCTTGGCTGTACCCCTAGCTTGTTCTCTGATTTTGGGGCTTTGCTGAAAGTTTACATCTCAGTAAGACCTCCCTGGCCAGCCCCCTCCCTTGCTCTGACACACTGACCCCTTTGCCTATTTTTCCTGGCATGGTGACCATCTCACAATACTATTGTATTTACTGTGCCTGTGGCCTGTGCCCGGCCATGTAAGCTACCTCAGGTGGCTTTCCAGAAGCCACACCCTTCCTTGGATGAGGGCACCTGAATTGTCCAGTGTTACCCAGGGCCAGGGCCAGCACATGCCCCAGGCCTGGCTAATCAGCACCACCGACCACAGAGATTGGTGGTGGCATGTGACCCGAGCGGGCCTAGGAAACTCAGTCCTAGGTTTTCTCTACCCAGGGACAACTGAGCCTGCTGAGCAGGGGCTCTAACCTGCGTATAGCAGGGGACAGGCTGCACAGACAAGCCCCTAAATCCATCTGGACCTAAAACCCAAGGTGGCCCTAGACCAGTGATAGTCTAAAAGGCAAACCTTTTAGAGATGAGTGCCCAAACTGCAACTCAAAACC